CTTTGAGTTTTTACGACTACGTGTTGAAAATATTCTGTAAATTGTCCCGAACAGTGGGACTTCCAAAACAAAGGCAGGTCCAGGTGGACTGGTACGAGTTGCATTGTTTTGGAAGTCCCACTGCGCAACTTGCTCACCAGTATGTGAGATTTTGTACCATGTGACTGGATCGTGCAAAGGGCCTATTGAAAACCGCTCTCATGCAAAACCAACTACATTTTGAAACTCAAAGTGAAAACCTCTCTATTGTCCTGTAATATTAAGGGCACTTTTCATTTATTGCACTTTATTGTCCTTTTTCGCCTTCGTGTTCCTAGTTGTTTCCTCGTTTTTTCTCATTCTTTTCACTTTCATTTCCATCTTCTTCTTCATTGCCTTTTTCTTTTTCTTCCCGTTTTTCTTTTTCCTTATTCGCTTGTTCTTTATTGCCGTCTTCTTTACTGTCTTTGCTGTGGAAGAAAAGGAAAGCAATTATTTTGAAAGCCCTTTAAATCTCGTATTAGTAAACATAACAGAAACTAAAGAAGAGGTTACAAATTAATTAAGCAATATTTTGCATGCTTCCTGGCTGCAGGTTTAGCAGAAAATTGAAAAAACCAAAGCTGACGCTAACTCTGCAATGCAAGCAATTTTCTTGTCCCAGGGCTTAATTAGACCAGGTAAACTTACCCTTGATCCTGTGGAAGTGTGTTAGGGCAAGCTTCAGTGTTACAGATCTCTGATTCCTTTGCTGGGCCTAGCTCCTCGCAGTTTTTACCATTGTTTTCTGGCGCAGGGTTGGTGCACTCTCGGGTCCTCTCACGAACACCTCCTCCACATGTCACAGTACATTCACTGAATTCACTCCACTCTGTGTACCCACCATCAACTGAAAGATAACAATGCCAGCAGTTGACAACTTTTAATCTATAAAGACTTATTTTCATTCTAAGATATGTTGACCAGATTACATGTATTNACTTGATAGTCGAGGATAATCCTCTTTCTTTGGTTTTGCACTAATAACTACACTTTAAATAGGCCCTTCGCACGATCCGGTTACATGGTACAAAATCACACATGCTGGTGAGCAAGTTGCGCAGTGGGACTTCCAAAACAAAGGCAGGTCCAGGTTGACTGGTATGAGTTGCATTGTTTTGGAAGTCCCACTGCGCAACTTGCTCACCAGCATGTGTGATTTTGTACCATGTGACCGGATCGTGCAAAGGGCCTATTAGAGCTTTTTTCATTTGAGTGTCGAGAAGTAATTGGTTTTATATCAATTAAGCTATACGATTGGTTTAAAAAACTGGCGCCACTTTTAACCAATCAGAAGTAAATCCAAAACCAATAGACCAATTTCGATATATTAAAATTCAGCCTAAAACAATAGACCTTAGCACAAGGCTCTGGGGAATAACTACAGAGTTTGTGGGGTTTATTCCCCGGAGCCTCGTGCTGAGGTCTATTGGTTGAATTTTAATTTATCGAAATTGGTCTATTGTGACTCACTCGCACACGTTTTCTTGCATCAGCTACGTGTAATTAATTCTACATCCAGTTTAAAACCGTTCTTAAAAGCACGCGTAACTTTCTTAACCAATCAGTATTCAGTAATGAAACTGAAATGAAACTGTAATGAAAAAACCAATCATGACGTTTTCTCGCGCTCCGTGCCTGCTACATGTAGTTCAAGTTCTGATTGGCCCAGTGGGATTGTCTGTGTCCATTAGTTTATGATTCACCAGACGTTGAATATTTTAGTTTTTAATCATTTCTCAATGATTAATTCTTCTTTTCGTTTACAATGACTGCATGACGGACTCCTGCAGATAAACAAGCTCAATATCTTTAGCAAAATTGTCAATTACAAATTTCTTGTATCGTCTAAACGGGCACGATTTGAAAACTTGTGCTTGCAAGAGGTATAAATTAAGGAGTGGTCATTATAATTCTGATTTGACTAACCCTAGAAACAGCAAATTTATCTGGCTTATTGGTGAGAAAGAGATCTTGAGGGTTATAGAACTGTGTGTAATTTATGTAAGTTCCTAAATAAGATAAAGATGTTGGTGCGAATGACATTATTCAGTTAGATAATTCAGATGATCACGTTTCATTCCATTTATTTTCTCTTGAAAATAAAACTATTATAATTTAGAAGTCACTCTTTAAATCATAACATTAAGATTACAGCACTGAACGTAACAATTCTTTGGTCCCTGTTTGCTGTTTTGGAATAACAACCTTATGCAAGTCGACAGAGCCCTAAAGTTCCTTTAGAAAGTAGTACATTTTTTCATTAATTAACTTTGTTTCTGACCCGTTCCCCGCCTACCTTTAAAAAAATTGTCACTAAACGGATGAAATGCAACATTCATAGGCTGACGTATAGAGTGGATTTCACTTGAGTGTCGAAGATAATCCCCTTTCTTTGATTTTACACCAGTAATTACACTTTAGATTAGAGCAGTTTTTTCGAAAAGAAATTGGTTTTGCATCAACTAAGCTACAACAATTCTAAGCTTCACAATTGGCTTGGAAAACTCGCGCCACTTTTAACCAATCAGAAGTCAAACCAAAACAAATTGTAACTCACTCGCACGCGCTTTCCCGCGTCAGCTACATTTAATTAATTCTAGTTTGAATTGGTTCACTTTATTGTCTGCGTCCTTTGTGATTGGCTAGATTGATTACTTTAATTGTAATTTCACGACATTTAGTTGAAAATTGCTCTTAGAAACACGTGTAACATTCTTAACCAATCGGCATTTAGTAATGAAACGAAAACCAATCGTGACGTTTTCCCGCGCTCCCTGCCTACTACATGTACTTCAAGTTTTGATTGGTCCAGTGGATTGTCTGTGTTCTTTAATTTATGATTCACCAGACGTTGAATATTTTAGTTTTGCTTTTTGAGACTGAAAGCCTCTCTAATGTCAAAATTTAGAGAAGCAGCGTCCGTGCAGTACGCCTCAATTCTTTTTTAAACTCAAATAGCCTCAATTTTGCCCAAAGGTTGTTCTGCAACTTTGCTTTATACCTGTGTTGCTATAATCAGCAGGGAGGGTTTTAAAGTGCCCATGAATTACCCCATTCCAAAGTTTGAGAAGGCTGCAATAAACATTACGTGTGAATTTTTCTTGCCATTCTGATTGTCTGGTGCACCAGCAGTATCGTCCTCATCTTCGTTCTTCTTTCTTAAACCATCGGCCATATCGGCTAATTAAACACTATAAAAAATGTTGACGTCACACGTTATTGCACGTAACCATCCGGCTGCACGATTCGCTATTTAATTATATAACTCTCATCACTTGTAATATCTGCAATTTTTGTCATACCCGTCTTAAACTTTAGAATGGGCCATTTTACAGTTGTGCACTCAGTTACCTGGCCTGTAAATGCAAGTGAGTCTAAAGCTGACTTTGTTTTGATACAAACCTCTCTGCTTTTCCCATTTAAATGAAAACTAGTTAGCAATCATAACAACTTGATTTACACAGCAAAAGCAGTGAAGTCGGTGTCAAAATGGAAAGGCCAGGTCGCTGAGCAAACAACTGTAAAATGGTGTATTATGTATCATGATAGTATATTTTTAGATTATGCCGACAAAAATCTCGCTTCATAGAAACTTTAAGCTTTTTGATTAATGTAGAGTATTACTTAGTTATTGTTCATAAAAGTTAATTAGGGTTTTAATGGACACTGGAACACTTGATAACACTGCGATGACCCCGAAAGTTACTATAAAAGAATCAACACAAACTTGATGTATCTTAAGGCGCTTATACTTGAGCTTAAAACGCAAGATAATTGGGAAAATGTAACATGCAGGAGAATCTAATATGCCTCCGATAAATGAAATTATTAACAAGAAACTTGGCACTAAAATGGCCACAACGACTGACAGAACAACTACTGTGACTCGAATCACTGCGTTTGTTATAAAGTCAGGTATTTGGTCATTTTGAATGCGTGTGGTAACTGACTTGTAAACAGACTCAAACAATGGATAAAGAACGAGACAATAGGATAGTATGCAATTCAAAGCGAAGAAAGAACCAACAGATATGTGAACAGGTCCTGAGGGAAGACTATTTAATATGAGTGCATCAGTGTTGGCACCGAAGGAAAGGAAAGCAAAAACAGCGAAAGATAATTTCATCGACGTACTTACGACATACGCCAAAGTTAAAGCTCTGCCGAACTTTCCTTTATCGGCCATACTTCCCTCTACAGATGGAATTATAGGGTGAGCAAAGTAACTGTAGAGCAAAATTGATGAAGATGTAACCACACCTTCCGCGTCCCAAAACACGATGGTGCTCAGGTCCCACTCGCCCGTATTCTCTGCTCCGTACCATAAAACATACACCACAACTGCAATTAAAGCGATCACGCTGATAGCACTCAACCATGCAATCTGCGAGAGTGACTTCAGGAAAACTGTCGGTAGGACCAAGCATCCAGCGATTCCTATCCACATGCGCTCTGTGATGGGTACACACGGGAAGTCATGGCGCATGACAGATCCGAAAAGGACAAGATAAGAAACAGCCATCAAAAAAACGTCTACCTGAATAATACCAGATACTATATAACCACCATATTTGGGTAAAAGCACGTCGCCTAGATCTTTATATCCTAACCTCACGCGATGTTTGTTTCCTTGCTCATCCTCGTCATAGAGGCACTCAGTTAGAATTGTTCCTATGTACCGCATGATAATTGGGGTTATTATAAACATTACCATGGCGGCTATTCCTCCCTCTTTAAGCGCATAGGGTACAGCAAGAAAGCCAATACCTTCCATAAAGTTAAAAATATTCACTGCAGCTTTCCACACGGACGAATCACCCGAGGAGGGGTCAGG